AAATCCCACCCCACGGGCGGCGCGGCGGCGGCGGCGCGCTGATGTCAGCGTGCCCCTTAAGGTAGACCGGAAGGCGAGGGGGCGGGGCCAAGGACCCTGGACTACGCGCCCGCCCTCCAACGCCCTCCTCCTGGCTGGTGCTGGAGCCGACCCAGGCCCGGGACCCCGGAGCCCCTGGCCCCGCGCGCGCAGCAGAGCACAGCCGGCTTTCTGCGCGGCGCTCAGAACCTTCGGATGGCGGGCCTCTCCTTGCCTTGGTTCCCCAGCACAGCGAGTGCCCGCGGCTCTCTGAAGCTATGCAGCCGTACGTAGCACAGCCGTAGGCCATGCCCACCGGGTGGACACCATAGAGGACGCCAGGCATCCTGTTGCTACTCCGCAGGTCCTAGCGCTATGGCATGTCGGCCCCCTCTTGGGCCTGTTTACACAGACCTTTTTCTGAATACCTCGGAGCATGTCTTTGGGGGCAGGCTGAGGGGGATTGGATGTTGTGACACTGCAGGGGCACCTTGGTTGTTTACCTCCTGCCCACCTTACAGCCCTTGGGCCACTCGGCTGGACCAAGCCCAGCTAGCGGGCAGAGTAAGTGCAGGGGCCGCTGGGCCCTCTGTGTCCTGGTCCAAACTTCAGGATTGAGTGTGGGTGGGGGAGAGGCTTAGGGCCGGCTGAACGCCTCAGCCTTCCCGGGACAGGGTGGAGCACCCCTCAGGAAGCGCCGGACACTCTGCCCCGCGCCTGGGATAGGGGGGTAGTCAGGCCCACCCTCTGAAAGGAAATCCCTCCGCCTGCGTAGCCGCTGCCCCTTAAGGTGGACCAGGGGCCTCGCATTACCCCGCGGGACCAGCTGGGAAGCTGGTACAGCGTCTCTGGGTGGACCTGAATCAAGATCAGCAGCTTCCCCAGTGAGGATCAGCAAGTGCCTCGGTCTGCGGCCATGCTAGGTACCACGGCCAAATATGCCAGGCTGCCACAGGCCCTGGGTCTCCTTACCTGGAGGCTCCTGTTGGTTAATGGGCCTTCTTAAGGCTCCAGCCCCAGCTCCACAAGTTGTGGGCTGAGCTGTGAGCTATTAAGAACCCGGGATGGCGGCCAGACTGCGGTGTTAATGAGGCTTGACAACAGATATGATGGGTTTTCTCTCACAACACTCAGTTATAGCCTCTGCCATGCAGTTTCTAATCCAGGAGGCACAGCACGTGTGTGAAGGGCTAGCTCTAAGG